ATTTTTGCTCATTATAACATTTGAAGAAATTCTCAAACCAACCACATACAACATGATAATATACCATTAACGCTTATGGTTATATTGTTTACTTCTGACTGACCATAACTTTCTTCAATTGTTTTGAAAGTCTCTTAATGTCATTCCATATTCCATATTTGTTTTAACTTCTAGTTTAAACATAACAGGACAATCCAGTGATATACAGCTCAGTTGTTCATCTCTAGCTCCACAACACTGAAAACATATCTACAATAAGAAAAAATTAAATGTCATGAAAAGACAAACCATAATTGTTAGGTTGTTTATTATGCATACCTCTTTTAAGATGACTGTATTTTCTTTCCCAGTTCCCACTCTACTTGCCAGAATAAAGACAGACTTTTGAGGTTGCTACGACAACTTTGACACAAACCGCTGCTGTGTTAATTGTTCACATACAGGACAGTGTGAGTTGTAAAACCGAGAAATCGAACGCTAAATTTGTTCAAATAAATTAATTTAGCTTTTACATCAATTCATGAATGTACTGATGACAACTAACTTTTGTTTCCTGCAATAACACGATGTCGAGGGATATATCGGGGTAGTTGTGTATACCATGAAAACACATCAACACCAATCAAGGAAAAAACTCGATCCAATGGAGGAAGTATTTGTTTCTGAACATAGTAGATGGTATTGAGGCGTAGATTTTTATCATTTAACACATCAATAGGACTGAAGAAAATTAAAACAAGAAGATTGTTTAATGAAGACAATCATATTTATACTAAAGTATTTATTAATAACATTCCAACAGCTTTTGTCATGATACATAACGTAAAATAATGAAAGACAGCAACATTTGAACTTACTCTTTAACCAATTGAATCAATGGTAGTCCAGGACTGCCGTTAACAATGACGTAAGGTACACGTTCTCCCACGCGAGGTTTCGCGCGACGATCACGTGACAAATGACGTCTATACAAAAATAGAAATAGTAAAACTGTAATCATGACAACAATATAAAGAAGATTTTTCATTTCAACAATAAAATGAACCTTGCAATTTCCAAAGCTGGAAAACATGCTTTTGGTTTATATCTTTTCATACCACGATATTCCTTAGCAAAGATGAAATCCTGAATCGATACTCTATCTTTCATCATTTTAACGAACTGCCGCTGGACAAACTTCTTTACAAGACTCACGTCTCTTTCTTCAAATAAAATCCTTAAAGACTTCTCTAAAATCTGTTAGAAAAATATAATCACAGACTGCTTTAAACTCAAAATTACCCCCCCCCATCTGCAGAATCTTGGGTGATTGGATGACACAGTAAATATTGTCGATTGTTGCATACCTTAGCGACCGCTGGACATGTATCTCGCCGTACAGTCTCTATTCCTTTCGCATCAAACACTGGATCTTTCTGTTCTAATGTTTCGTACATATAACCAACGTAACGTTTCTTTGTTTGAAGAACACAAGGCATATATACCTAAAAATCATCCCTAGTTATACATAAATGTATCTTAAAGTCCAAATCTCTCAAATAGATACAATTTTACAGTAGATAAAACCTTTTCAAACTTTAGTTTCACAGGTTTAGGATTCTCTGCAGTAACAGCATCAACAATTTCTTCCAATCTTCCTCTTTACTGGCACCTTTATTAATACGAAAAGACTATCGGTGTCCCCATATACCACACGACCACCCCACTCATCCCTTGTGTTCACGAGATTGATAGCTCGTTCCAGGGTCTCGCGTGCTTTACGAACAATGGCGTCAGCAATCTGATGAAAACAGAAAAGAATATTCAGATGGCTTTATGAGTAAAATGAATCCAGTATGACAATAAGCACTTGATAGATTTTCAATCTGACCATGTGACTTAGTCCAGGCTCACGATAATCATAATAATCAACATGTATCTATATTGTATATATTATATATTTACCAATTATCTGTAGTAAATACACTAGGTGCCAAAAATGAGTCCACTAAATATCGAATGCATATTTTAGTTTTGAACCATATTACCACTCTGTCACAACAATGTTAGGTTTTAAGTTCTCGAAAAGCAATGTCAGTACATGGTATGTCCTCCTTAGCTTTCAAAATGGCTTCAACTCTTTTGGCATAGATTTAACAAGATTTTGAAGTGTAGATGGTTCAATATTATGCCAACATGTAGAGATTACATCCCATAGCCTGTCCTGGCTTGTTACGTCATGTTTCACTTTTTCTCTTTTTAACTCATCCCATAAGTGTTCAATTGGATTAACATCGGGCGATTGAGGCGGAAATGCCATGAGCTTCAATTCACCTTGACTTTCTTTGTTCCTTAAATAATTTGTGCGCAAGTTGGAGCTGTGTTTCGGAACGTTATCCTGAAGTAAGGTAAATCCTCTCCCGCATAACCTTTTGCCAGATGGTACAGCATGCCTTTGGAGAATAGAATGGTATTGCTTTTTGTCAAGAATGCCTTTTATTCTGTAAAGACTCCCAACACCATTAAAGCTGAAACAGCCCCAGACTTGAATGTTTCCACCCCCATGCTTCACGGTGGACTTGAGGCACTGACTTGACAATCTTTCACCACATCTTCGTCTCACATAAACACGGCGATTATTTCCATGTATTTCAAACTTTGATTCATCAGTAAAAAGTACTTTTTTCCAATTGTCTACGCTGTAATGCTTGTATTTTTTGGCCCATAAGAATCTCTTCCGCTTATTTATCGGGCGAAGCAACGGTTTGAAGCTGCAACTCCTCCGTTCAGACCACTTGCAGCCAATCTCCTTCTTACTGTTGTTTTGCTGATTGCTTTCTCTCGGGTGGCGTTAATTGACGATTGAATGTTGCTAGCAGTTGCTCGTCTGTTGCGCAAAGAACTTAGCTTTATGAACTGATATTCTTTTTGTTGTTATACGTGGTCTCCCAGGTTTTGGTAAGCTGGAATAACATTGCGTCTTTTAAATCTTTCCACGGTTCGCTGCACAGTTCCTTTGGAAACTCCCAGCATTGCAGCAACATTTCGTTATGAGTAACCTTCGTTAGTGACAGCAACAATTTGCCCTCTAACTCTTTCACTTAAATCTTTAGCCATTTCCCAATGTACTGCCAATGCGCTTAGATATTGTGAAATATCTTGCAAACAATTGTGGGACACAATTTCAGGTCTCACTGCGTATTTTCAAGTGGCTACTGTAACTATATATTTCAAAAGACACATTTTTCCCACAATTGTTCCAATATTGGAACTGGACTCATTTTTGGCACCTAGTGTATATTATATATTTATTGTATCTAAAATATATATGTGTATTGGTAAATATATAGTATATATAATATAGATACAATCAATTAATACAAAGTTTACGGCACAAGGTCTGTTTAGATGGAATGGGAGAGTTATCGTTTGTTTAAATTTCTATCATGAATACAAAGTTTACGGCGCAAGGTCTGTTTAGATGGAATGGGGAGAGCTATCGTTTGTTTAAATTTCTATCATGAATACAAAGTTTACGGCGCACGGTCTGTTTAGATGGAATGGGGAGAGCTATCGTTTGTTTAAATTTCTATCATGAATACAAAGTTTACGGCGCACGGTGCGTTTAGATGGAATGGGGAGAGCTATCGTTTGTTTAAATTTCTATCATGACAAGATCAAAGTTACCTCAACACAAGGCACTCGTCCTGAGACGTTTGCTGATTTGTAACCATAAGTGACATTTGCAATCAACTTTAAAGCAAGTTGTCGAGCATCAAGAAGTTGAAGAAGAGTCTAAAATGTAAATTATTTATGATATTGAATGATTAAAGAAAACAAACGAAAAATGGAAAGGCATCTTTTTTGTACATGATGAAAACTCCATGACGTTTTAGCTAATGGATCTTATAAAACATCAAAATCGCTTCAAAACAAAGGTTTAATAAAACCAACTTACTTTATCATCTTTACAATCTTTCATAGCTTTCTTTACCATAATACGTGTGTCTAATATCTCCTCTAACATTCTAAAATAAATCAAACTTATTGAACATATAATAGCCAAAGATATCAAGACCCATTTAGGAGAGCAAAGACTTAAGAAGGAACGCTATGTACATTGCAAAATATACAACAAAATGCAAATGTTATTTTTTCAACAATCTTTTGAATCAATAAAAATGTGACTTGTAACCAAATGAATGTGAAATATCCCACATTACCTGGGTAAAATTCCTCGTCTTATGTTAGATTTTACAAAAACAGAGCCGTTGGCGCTTACATGAATATCATCTTGCAGTTTCTGAAAGGAAATGTATTGTTTCAAATGTATTGCTTGTCGTGATGGTAATTTATTAAAAATTCTCACCTCCAGTAATGTTGGAGGAACATTCAACGATGTACAACCAAACTCAAAATGACCAATTCTATCAACAAAAACAATAAATATTAAAAAATTTAACTGAAAGAAAACACGTAAAAGGTTTGTATTCTAAAATCTTTCAACTCGGGAAATGTAGTTCTTCAAAAACACATTAGCTAAAGGTTTAACTAGTGCAAAGCTTAATGGTGTTAGTCGAAAAACTCAGCCAAGACGAAAATGTAGCGTTTAAAGGTAATTTGAGGAAAATATTTTACAAAGGTTAACACTTACTTATTTAATCTGGCAAGCTTTCCAAGACAAGTGGAATAACAATAGTTATAGGCTATGATCATAGAGGGATAAAGAGATTGAAAATCCAACACAATAACGGGATCAACATAGAAACGAGATTCGGGCTCCATGACCAAAGGGATACATTCTGGTGCATCCATTCTAAGGAAGTTTAAGATAAAATTTTCAATCAATCTATCTTTTAATGAATAAAATGAAAAGTAGAAGTGAAAAAATAACATCTTAGGAAGACAATATAGAATAGTTGCATATTGTTGGGAGTAATGAAACAGTTTTGTATAGCTGAGGGATAATGTGGAACAGTTGCGAATCGATGAGGGATGATTTCTTACCTAGCTCTCTGCTGTATACTTGGTGAAACAGAAATATAATTCATTGGTTTTGTAAGACGAAACATCATCGACTCAACACGAAACTAAAATAAAATAAAAATAATTTCCTGCAAGACTAAACTGATTTAAAATGGTTATTTGGCTTTAAATCTATGAGTGAAATAAAGCGTTGATGATAGAAAGATTATAAATCAAGATAGCACTCATCAAAGCTGGAAAATTTATTAGTAGTGACAATTTAAATATGAAACTATTATTGAGTATTCATAAAATAAAATTGCAAAATAAATGTGCACCATTAAGTAATTTTATATCCATTGAAGATCAAATTATTCCTAAGCATTATTAATGAATAATTTTTACCTGTGAACCACGTGATATGACACTGTAAAAGAGAATCCCATAAAGTCTTGCGAACTCACTTGTCCTGTTAACGAAGTCGAGCTGATTCAAAATCCTGATGTTGCCTTGACAACGAATGACGTAGTGCTCCACAGTTCTCCAACGATCATGAGGTAGTTTCTTATCCCACCATTGTGTGAGCTGACGATAACTGTACAGCGGTACTCTTTCGTGCAGTACGTGGTATGATACATTCTCAAACGAGTAGACATTCAAAGTCACCTAAACAAAAAACAATCAAACTGCGATCTTTATTACTAACATTTTTACTACATCAATAATGTCAAAATGTTAACAACTTTAACTTTAAATTGTCAGCAAAGATTGTAAAATTATTTTGGTAAATAGAAATATAAATGAATCATTTATCTTATTCAAAATACAGTCATAATGTACTCATCATAATGTACTCGTACTAACGGAATGGCACACAGAATTAGACTGCAGAGCGTCACAAAGCAGTTCTAATTAGTTGACAATAGTTATAAAAGAAGCTAGTTTTACTTTTAGATCGATAAAAAAGATTGTTACAAAATGACCTAATCAACAATAATGAAAACAGACCTAATCAATGATGGTTTATACATGATGACGTAATCAATGATGGTGTATGCATGATGACGTAATCAATGACGATTTATACATGATGACCTAATCAATCACGGTTTATACATGATGACCTAATCAATGATGGTGTATGCATGATGACGTATCAGTAATGGTGTATAGATGATGACGCCATCAATGATTGTTATGCCAGATGACGTCATCAATGATGGTGAGTACATGTTTGTAGATGTAGATCGTCCAGGTTGGTATAGTCCTGAGAAGGACTGTTTTTGTTGTTGTTGAAACCATTTAGTTGATAGTGAGTACATCATGACGTAATCAATAATGACATCACCAGATACCTCGTGTTTCATAAGTCGCCAAACATTTAAAATAATTCTTCCCGTAATTGTAATCTCTGACGTATGATTAGCTCCCCACTTGTCAATTTCCGCATCAAACCGCGCCGTACCGGAAGTATCCTGCACTCGAGATAATTGTGATGCTATATTAATCCCAAGAGTCGTAGCGCGCTGTATAAGATATCCCCAAGACAACATTTGAACTTCAAAGCCAAGCAAGATGTCAGGATCTTTTTCATGGACAATTTTAACCAAATGATTGATAACATCAGTTTCTTCTTCCACTGTTACAACCTCAAGATTGTTTGAATTACAAAAATGACGCTGTAAGGTTCCTTTTACATGGGATGTTTTTGTCGTGTCTGTCGCACTTGTAGACTTGAAAACAAAAACAAAAAGTGTTCAATGCACGTTCATTGTTTAATCATCTGAAATTGCCATCGTAAAATAACTCCCTTACGCAAAAATAACTCAAATTTAAGTTAACTAACAGACCATAACAACAACTGATTAATTGAAAATAGTGAACAGGGAAATATAGTTTTCCAAAACGTTTTCCAATTTAGCCCATGTATAATGATAAGAACAATTTTTTACAACTCCTGAGATATGAAATCCATAAAATGTCAATTACCTGACATACGTCATCATTAGTATTTCTAATTTTCGTCATCTCTCGTAGAGTTACTATCACTCCAGTTTCATATTTCTTCCCATCTTTTGTCTCGTTTTCAATATGATAAAATATTGCACAAATAACGTCAAACTCTGGGTCGGGACGTAAACTTCTCCTTGTTCTTACATGAAGTTCTACACTCAGCAAAGTTAGAAATTGAACCTAAAAAATTAAAAAAAAACTGTGCCTTAAAATAAATAGCCTAAAACGTTCACAATACCTTCCCAAAAGTATCGCTATGGGTAGTTTAATCTTTAATCTTTAACTCTTCTAATCTCACATTTAAAGTGCCTATATCATAACATCACCTATACAATTTTTATGGTTTTGAAGAGAGCTTAAAACTTACTAAATAAGTTTCAAAACATTTTTATTTACTTGAATAGTTTTGAAAAATTAAGCTTTGAATTGCAATTTCGGCTCGTTTAAAAAATTTCCGTCGTCTTGGGGACTGGGACTCAGGAACGCGTCCTTTGTCATTTACTTTAAATAAATTACATTTCCGCTGACCAGTTGGGAAAATCGTAAACAAGTTCACATATAATAGTGAATTACATATAGTTCAACTATTTTACCTACTTTAACTACTGCTTTAACTATTTTCTAAGTCTAGTTTGGTGCAAATTTAACATTTTAATAACCAACCTGGCGAAGGGACTTGGCATCTTGAATATTTGGTTGAGAAATTTGAAATCCAAAACTATTTGTTGGTGTAGGTCCTTCAATAAAAGATCCTTCACTGAGAGATGTTTGTTGTTGTGCGCCTGGTAATGGATAGTCCTTTTGGAAAGAGATAAGAATTAAATTGTACAATATATTTTAAGTGAAGACAATTGATTTTCTCTCTTCAGCAAGATTCAAACTGACAAAATATCATCCACAACAAGACAGTAGCTAAGTCAACCGTTCTTACTCCTACATAAAATTGTATGAGTAAAAATTCGACAGGTTGTTGACTTTTTGTAAATACAAAAGAATCAAGTAACAATATGTAACAACTGTGTAACAATATGTAACAACTTTGTAACAATATGTAACAACTTTGTAACAACTGTGTAACAATATATAAAAACTGTGTAACAATATGTAACAACTTTGTAACAATATGTAACAATTGTGTAATTATATGTAAAAACTTTGTAACAACAACATTGTAATATCAATTATGCATTATAGAAAAATGCATAAATACATACAATTACGTAGCAATGACTTAACCGTAAACCAAGAATAATAATATTAAGAGGAAAGAAAATTTCCTGTTTATAGCATAATTATCAAACTCAGAAAATAAAAATGTTTTACCTTTTCGTGATTCTTGAGTAAATTTCTCCTTAGGTTTTGTAGTTTTGAATCTTTTTCCTTGCGTGATTCTTCATTATTCTTATCTTTAACATGATCTATAGGAGTACAATGCCATACTTTATGACTTTTATTTTCACTATCAACTACAGGTGTACTGTGTTTTGGACCAATCACGTGACACGATGGAATGTTCCCGGAATTTCTTTGACTTTCCTCATTATTTTCTTGTAAACTTTGACCGCCACTATTTTCAAGCAGTGTATGTTCTGTCACAAACGTCTCTCCGTTAATAAAATTCGCATTTTTTGGAATTTCGCAATCCTCTGAAACAATATCAGAGGTATTCAAACGTTCATTTCCAGGCCTTTTTGTCAACATCCATTTCTCGACATCTTTCCTCGTTGGCGGTAGTTTCACTGGAGTGATTATCACGTCACGATCTCCCATTAAGACAAT